AATGCTCCTCCACATCACGTCATGCTACCTCGGCGGACATTAATTTCGCGTCATGACAGCGACTCACGCAAACAAACAACAATCCCGCGATTCCCAAAGCGCCGCGCGGACCCATTGTTTTCGCAACTCCTTGGAGGCGGACGAACAGTTCCCGGGCGACCCGCTTGCGTCGGCGGCGCCGCACACGTGTCCACGGAATAAATGCGAGCGGGCGGGAGGCAGAGGGGGGGGGAGTGGTTCTCGTTTTTTGGCGCAGACAGGCGGCCGCGTTGGGCAAGGCGCGTCGGTGGGCCGCCCCGTGCGGCGACGCCCGTCCGCTCCGGCAGCCGCCGACGCTTCCGGCAGCAGCTGCTGTTGCAGCGTCGCGACGCCGCCGATCTCGTGTTAATGTGTTAGTTCAGGTGCTCGCGCTGTCAGAGCAAGTTCGGACGGCTGGCAGGGTATATTTGACGCATTGTAGAGCCACTGAGGAGGACGCTTTAAAAGATCGTTGGCATGTTGAAACTCATGTTATTTCACGTTATATGTGTCATGCGTCTAATTTCCGTTGAATTCGTCTAATTCAAAATTACTGTGTGCAATATCATATTCAGAGTGCTGGTCATGAGAATGTCAGCTCACCAAGAAGAATTGTTCTAGTTGATCACTGAACGAGACACGAAAGAACGACTTATATAGTGATGTTTACGTGGAACTAGGATGGAAAATTAGCATTGAAACAATAATAATAATAATAATAATAATAATAATAATAATAATAATAATAATAATAATAATAATAATGAAATAATAAGTAGAATATTATCGAATCATACAATAAAAACTCTATCAAAGATGGAGATTTTTAGCCGACTATGATTCATTTAGGGTGATCCTGAGGTTCACTCTGCCTTCTTTCAATATGAGCATCAATATCTAATGGCTTTATTGACAGTAAATATTAGGAAAAATACACATACGAAGCATGGCGCTTGCCACGCTATCTTATCCCACTTCCAGTAATTAGATATGATTTTCTACGACCCATCAATCTACAGAGGGACCTGCAAGTGGAGAAGCGAATGACAAAAGACTAGTATAGACAGGAGTTCTAACCTCCTATTACTCGACTCCAAGCAGGCGGATCTTACAGTATAAAGGGGGGAAGCATGTTTTTAAAATTAAAAACGAATATATACTTCTTTCATTGGATCAACAAGAACTTTCTCCGCTTCTCCCCTAAACAGCTATATTTGTATTGAAACGTCCAAAATACGAATATGTGGCCGAAGTACCTTCATGTTTCTGCGAATTCATCATTCCATACAAGCGCTTACCAGAAGAAAACCGAAAACGTCCGAGGAGGCGGTTCCTCCCCAAGAGGAGGTCAACGGCGCATGAAGTGTCTACGCACTCGTCGGCGAGTGGCGCGGGCGGGGAAAGCGGCGAGGAGGAAGGGGTGTGGAGGGGCGGGGGAGGGGCGCGTGACCGGGCGCGGGCGCAGGCGCAGGCACAGCCGGTCGCGTCGCCGCGGGCGGTGGGTCAGCGCCGGCGCATGCGCAGCCGGTTCCTCGGGAAGTCTCCTCCTCCTCCTCCTCCCTCGATTTACGACGCGCCCCCTCCGACGCAGCGAAAGCCCCTGCGCGCGCGGGTTGCACCGGCCGCTCCGGAGGCGGACGGAATTGTAACTCTCACGCCCGAGTATATATGAAGGACTTGGATCCATGAGAATGAACAAGGTTTTTTATTTTCTCGTATACTTCTCTTATATCATTTTTTTTGCAAAATCGATTTATTTTCAGTAAATTGTACATTACTGAATTCGATGCTGGTAGATTTTAATGTTACAAATACCTTTAGTTGCATTGTTGCTATGGAAACGAATGGTGTTAGCGTCATTAAAATTCATAGATTCAATTCTACTAAGAACATTAAATGTCAGTTTTTGAGAGATTATCAGGTTTATCCCGAGATATCTCAGGCTGAAAAGAATAGGAAACGACCATGTGTGAGAAAGCCTATGCTATTTTGCAGCATGCTAGTTAAGCATCCCTTTTATCATGAACCCCAGAAGTTAATCTAAAATGATCGCAGATCTGAAAGCACTATGGGGATGGATTTATCTTTGTAGCGTTTTGAAGGCGGGAAATACTTGATTTGTATGTAAAGTTTCATTTAAAAGTAAAAACTTAACTTAGTATTTTTTTTGTAAACCTAATCTGAAGTAATAATTAGTTGAATACAAGATTTCGAAGTAAATATGTATTAGGTGGAATATATAATGGACGATTCCTGCAACAAATTCAGTATTCTGGAAAATACTTACTTTATAAATATATTTTTTGTAAGAAAGAAAGAATAAATCTACAAAAAGGTGCCTCTTTGGGAAATTAACCTTTTAGAAGTAATTTAGATATTGAAAACATTAATCTCTCTTTGATACACGGATTAAACTATTATTTGCTTCACTTGCTTATCATCAGTGTACCAGAACTATTATATTTAGATAATTAGTGCAAAAGTATTGCAAATAGAACCATAAACTTATTTTTAAGCAAATACCACCTACAAACATTTCAAACTACAATAAATGAAAATATTAAAGGTTGAATACTTTTACATTATGAAATGTAATCATCAGATCCGTTATTTGCGCGCCAATCCTTACCACACACGAATGAGTCGTAAATGCCAGCTTGCAGCTCGAGGCCGCTGCTGGCGTCCTCGCGAGGACGTCCAATCAAAAAGAGGCTCGGCCGCGCGCCGTCGCGTTTTTCGTCCCCACCCGTGACCCCTCGGCCATCGTTCACCTGTCACACCCACCCGCGCTCGTTAACCGTTCATCGCGATGAGTCATCGCTCGCGCGCACCCAGCGCCGGGGCGGTGAAGTGAGCAGACATTGAAGGCGGCACCTCGCAGGAGGAAATTCGATGCTGGCGGACGAAAACGTTTCTCTTCCGAGGCCGCTCCGCGAAGGCCCCGCGTGTGTGCGCAGGAAGCCAGGCCCCGTCGGCGCCTCTTGAGCTCAGCAACAGCCATGGGAGGAGCACACCAACTGCTAAGGGTGCCAGTCTCTCTCTCTCTCAATCTCAATCTCTCAATCTCAATCTCTCAATCTCAACCTCTCTCTCTTGCTCAGTCTCGATCTCTCCCTTGATCTCGGCCTCTTTCTCCCCCTCTCTCTCCCTCGGTTCCTATAGGTTTATCAACCGCTCTCTCTTTCTCTCTCTCTCTTCCTCTCACGCTTCCTCTCTCTTTCTCTCTCTCGCTTTCTCTTTCTCTCTCTCGGTCTCGACCTCTCTCTTCATCTCGGCTTCTTTCCCTCTCTCTCTCCCTCGGTATCGGTCTATCTAACGTTCTCGGTCTTGGCCCCCCTCTCTCTCTCTCTCTCTCTCTCTCTCTCTCTCTCTCTCTCAGAAGGCACTACCGCCCAGGTTGAGATCTTGCTTGACATATGCGTAAACGTAGAACTATAAGAGGGTCACTCAATTTTAGGAAATCAATCATTTTGAATTGAGCAATCGGTCTAATCGTAGGATTGTAGATAGGATGGAAGAGATGGTTGCGGTGTTCGGGATCAGTGGTTAATGTTGCAGATTAACAGAGGTGATGTCTTTGGATAAGTGAATTTGGATTTATTGCTATGCAGAGAGAGTGAAAAATTTTTTAAAATTATTTCACGATATTCTCATGCTCAGTTATTGATAATTTACTTCAAAGAAAAATATTGATAATTATATAATAAATAAAAAACTAAAAAAAGAATGATCGTATGCAATTGATTAGCGCCTCGTGTAACGAGGGAATTATTTTCCAACATTTTTTTGCTTGTTAATGCTGTCAGCTTAGCCCTTCCATTCCTAATCCCAACTAATGCTTCCGGCGGACCTCCGGCTTAGGAAGGATCCCGCGGCCCCCGTCGCATCCGCCAACGCCCTCGGCCTTCCCCTCTTCATCCCCTTCCACTTCCCCTGCCGCTCCTTCTGTTCCTTTCGGCAAACGGAAGACATGGTGCCTATGATTCCGTGTTAGGCAATTGCCTTCCTGTGCTCTGAAATATCACTATCTCAAATATTGAATCGAAACCGTATTGAATCGAAACCGAAGTCAAGTATATTTCAATTAACTTTCGTAGGGTAATTCACGACAGTATTTCCTGAATTCATTCAAAAACATGCCTACTTGCCTTCAGGGTAATAATTCGATCAATTAATATTGTTTAATGGTAGTTAAACATTGGGAATGGTTATTAAATGAAATTGTACTTCTTTGAATGTTCTTGGGTTCCAAAAACATTCTTGTATGGATTTCCAGATCTGTTTTAATTAATTTACGGTAGATTTTCGTATTTTTTCTCATTTTTGTTGTTATGATTATTTCTGTTACATCCATTTGAATTCTTTATTAACTCTTCCATACTCCGGTATTTTTCACACTTTTCTTTTCGATCCCTTCGTCTTACTTTACAATCATTTCTTCCAACTTCATGCCATAAAGTATATAATTTCTGTGAAACTGCTTCCTTCCTCTGTGTAAACCTCGAAGAAGACAAGTCTACATGGTCACATTTTTACATTTTATACCCCTCTTTGCGATGTAATGAAAATGCTCAAATTCTGGAATGCTCAAATTCCGGAAACTTTACAAAAAGATACTAAGTCAGAGAGGAGAAATGATTTTAATGGCTCCATGAGGCAAAATAAGTATTTACAAAGTCTTATAACGACACCGCAGAATAGTGAAATATATTAGCCGCATAATAGATCATTGTACTTGATTAATAAGAAAATAATTCTTGTAAACTTGTATTATACAAGTATGTGGAATTAAAGAAAAAGAACAATTTCAATAGAAATAACAAAATAGACACCACATGTAAATTTATTTCTAGTGCAAAATGATTTTTTTTTTTACTTTTACTTATACCAATAATTATTGTATAGTTTAACAAAGTTCTTTAGAGTCCTGATTTGAGCGTTCATTGCGCCGCTTTAAAAGAGACACAGGAGCAGTAACTCACCTTGTAGAGCTTGTCGCGCTGGTACCAGACGTCTTCTTCCTCCTCCTGCATGACGTACGTGGAGTCCAGGTTGAGGTCATCGCGCGATCGCGAGAGAATACGCCGCCGGGACACCATGTCGGTCTGCGGGGCGGGGCCGCAGCTGCAACACACACTCGGGTTAACGCTCTGCAAAGCGGGAGCAACGCACAAACATGAAGGCGTTATGGGCAAAGTTAAGAAACATGCGGAAGATTGCACGCAATAGGCGACCAGTGGGGTAAAAGTTTGTGTAAAGGTCTTACACCTATAAAGACAAGGGTTTAAATCCCCGTTATTTCATGATGAATTTGACTTGTGGAAACGTTTTAGACATTTTTGTTTCAGGGGTTCTTTCATTCACGTGAATGTAAACTTCCTTACCAATTCTCTCTCCACGTATGTTTTCGTAGACATTATCTGAACTTATCCCAGCAGCCATGTGCCTAATTTGCTCCAACAAAAATAATGATTTGTTTAATTGTAAAAAATTATCTTTGAGCTCTAGATTATTCCATGTGCCAAACAAATATCATAATGAAAAAGATGGGCAGAAGACGGGAGTGACTATTAGTTTAAAATGCACATTCATATTCACATGCTTAATTTTAATTAAAAAAGTATTTCATTATTCATAATGATTCCGGTATGTTATATTCGTTTCGTGTTGGTGTTTGCTATATTTTACGGAGCATTTCCTACGAAGCGATCTCGATCAATTCAATGAAGTTCTAATACGGTGTGCCAATACGTTATGTTAATCACGTGCCGGAAGAGACTAATTCGCGTTAATCAAGAAGACGGAAATCACACTTGGGAATTCGGCCCAATACCGCCCATTGGATAACACTCCTGACTCGAACGGTTCGCATTGCGTCACACGCATCCAGAATCAGCAATGGATGACGTCAGGGGATCGTGTTGTGCGCCAACTCGAAATGGGTCGAAAGGCTAAGGGCACTTCGTGGAAAGCAAGAATAAAATATAAATAAATAAACATTCCAAGAACCAAAGTAACTTCAGGCTAGGTATAAACATTGTATATTATATAATTTAAGATCATGAACCCTTGTTGTGTATGTTATACAAAAGTTATGATTTCTTTTAATGTTTAGGGATACACATAAAGTTAATGTGTTAAATGCGTTGATTTCTTTTTACAATGGTCGATTTGTTTCCCTTTCCATCTATTTCTTTTCTTTTCGCTCTCTCATTCACACAAAAACGCATGCTCTTTTGCGCGGTTTCCTCACATATAAAGCACTACGAAACTTGTGGATCATTTCACACTGAGCAACAACTGGTAAGGACATATGGGAGCGGATGAGATGGTCCATAGGCAGACAAAGACAAATGCGATTGCTGGAAGGCGAAAGAGATAGGGCGAACGGGGATGGGTGGGGAAGGGCGAGAGAGGAAAGGCGAGAGAGGAAAGGCGAGAGAGGAAAAACGAGCGAGGAAAAGTGAGTGAGAAGAGGCGAGTGAGAAAAGGCGAGTGGGGAAAGGTGAGTGAGGAAAAGTGAGTGAAAAGAGGCGAACGAGGAAAGGCGATTGCGAAAAGGCGAATGAGAAAAGGCGAGTGAGGAAAGGCGAATGGTGAAAGGCGAGTGAGGAGAGGCGAGTGAGGAAAGGCGAGTGAGAAAATGCGGGTACGGACAACGCAGTGCGAGGGCGGGCTGAGGGCGATCGCAGCCGGAACGTGCGTCCCGTCGGCGGCGTAGCGCGCGTCGCGGGCGTCGCGGCGCGGGGCGTCGGCCTAACGGGCCCTGAGCGGCGCGTGTTGGCACAGCCGCCCGCGGGTAACGGGTCGCGTGCGCGGGGGCCGGGGCACGGGTCGCCCACGGCGCGGATCCCCTAGACGACGGTTCCGCCCCATTGATTCCGGACGTGTGGAGTCCCTCATTGGGCAATATCATCTGGCTCAATGCGCATGTGCAGTTCCATCGGACATCGGTACAACGTACTGCATTCAGGTCAGCAATTGTCTTTTGTACAGAACAATATGTGAGGATGGATGTCAAAAGTTCGTGTATTGTATGTCAACATTTCAATATTAATTCTTCACAATAATTTAATGATTATTGGGAGATAATTCGCTGCAGTATAAGACGAAATTTACAATATAGAATAGCCACGTTATTAGTCCCGAAGATTTATATAAAACCTTTTGCGTACATTTGGCAACTATTAATAGTCATGTAAGGTCAATATGGAGATCACTATTCCTATATTGCAACATCACGCTGACTCATTAAAACACGTTCAATTATTCGTTGCCAACGCAACATAAAAGTTCCTAAAAGGTTGCAACGGTCGCTATTGCGCACGCAGAAATGCTTATAGCTCCTCCGAGAGCGGTTCGGCCTACTGAAACTCGAGCGGGCGCACCCGATTGGCCAGTGGTTGGACGCGGTCGTCCCGCGGCGCCGCCCGCAGGGTGAAAGCGGCCGGGCGGCCACCGGCGGGCGAGCGGCGGGCGACGGCGCGGCGGCGTGTGGCGCAGGCGCGTGCGTGGAGCGCGCTTTCTATCGCAGGGGCACGCGCTGCCCTCGCGGTAGCACACGCCCCTCCGCTCCGCTCCGCACTGCTCGGCCTGCTCTGCCCTGCCTCGCCCCGCCCTGCCCCGCTGCTCACCAATCCGGCCAGCCGAGCCCATTCTTTTGCATTCAGACTTGTCCCATCCCGACCTGTCCCGTTCCGACCTGTCCCGTTCCGACCTGTCCCGTTCCGACTTGTTCCGTCCCGACCTTTCCCGATTTGTCCCGTCCAGTCCCGAACTGTCCCGTTCGACCTGTTCCGTCCCGACCTGTTCCGTCTGTCCCGAATGTCCCATCTCGACATGTCCCCGTGACGTGTCTCATACCGACCTATTCCCTTCCGACCCGACCTGTTCCATTCCAATCTTACATATCCCATCCTTCCCCCATATCAACCTGCCCCAACCCCGTCTCCATCAGTCCCGTCCTCGTCCCGACTTGTCCCATCCATTGCGTTCCGACCTCTCCCGTCTCGTGCTGTCCCGGTGCAACCTCACTTCGCCTCACTCCACCGCAGTTCCTTCTGCCGCTTCACCTCGTCAGCCTCGCAGACCCCGCATGCCACACCGCTCCCTTTTCTCCCCACTCCGCCCTGTCCCGCCCAGCTCTGCACGACCCGCGCGCGTAAAAGTGTTCTCGCCTGCGACCCCAGGTCACGAGCTGCTGACCAACAAGCCGTGCCGTGCCGAAGGAAGCGGCAGTCACACTCGCGGAAATGCTCCAGTGTATCTCGCGTAATGTTACTTAACTTCGAGGCTGTAAAAACGCTCCACGCTCGTTATATTACATTTTATGGCAACAGCAAACGACATAGCATAAGGTCCAAGCATAACGCTGAATATTTCCAGCGTCGTGCGTTCAGCGTGTTGGACAGAACACTTGTATCCATTCCAATTCATTTTATAATCTAATTTCAATCAATATAACTTTGGTAATAGTTTGCAGAAATTCTAGTGGTTTCAACCACTTATTAGTGTCCAAAATCAATGAAAAATTTTGGAATAGATTCGACATATTGGCGAAAAAATATTGTTATTAACTTGTGTTCGTATTTTCTTTCTCATGTTACAAAACTTGACTTATGCTATAAAAGTATTATTACAACTTTCACAAGAATATATTTTTCACTGTTTAACTGAACTTGAGTACTTTTGGTCTTGAAATACGTCCATAGTACACCGTGACAAAATGCACGAACCAATTCCACAACTGAGTCAGAGGCTTATGCTTCGTTTGCGCAAGCGAATAAGAGCAGCCGCTTCGTTAGGCCCTAATTTTCCGGTCCATTGAGAGCGTTCGCCTCACAATGGAGGGCATCTGCATAATCCTTCGTTGCGAGAGGACGAGGGCGCTGCGGGCGCCTGGGGAACGCAATCCGCAGGGCGCCGCGTGGGTGCGGGCGGCCACCGCTTGCGAGAACCCGGGCGCCCGAAATGCAATTTGCATGGCGCGCGGCAAGAGACGTGGATAGCGGAATTAAGCGTTGAAAAATGTAACGACCACTTATATGTGAAATGCGTGTTAATGTGAAATATGACTGACGTTTATGGGTAAGGGAGTGCGTATCATACACTATTTGGTGGAAACTTTATTCTTGCAAGGGCGGGACGAACGAGAAGGCTATGTAGCCTGAACCTAGATAACAAAGTAATAATAAAATCAATAAATACTGTTTACCTGTTTGTCTTTGTATGAAGTTTACTTAAGTGTTCGGAGTGGATTAAATAACTCATTACATCGGATATAATGAGGCGGATTGGAGTAAACAAAATAGCTCATTTCTATACCAAATGTAAATATAATACGATTAGTCATAGAAAAATGTCAAACGTTTTGAAAGGCAATTGGATTAGAAGATAACAAATAACAATGAGACCATTTTATGTTCGTTATTAATTACACGCACGTACAATCGCACTTGTGAATAATCAAATAACTTGCACCTAATTGTATATTTTAGCCACTTGAAATATAAATAACTTTTTGTAAGATAACTATAATTTATTTACTTATGTTACGATCATCAGTTTCATAACTAGCATAATATGGTGTGAAATATTTAACTAAATGGTGGTGAGATTTAACTAAATAGTACCAAGTTGCGTCTGTACATTTGTGTGTGCCTGCACAATTTTAATGAGAATAATGACATCTCTTGCTACTTCCAATTTCTTGGCGTAGCTATTCCGAACGGGATGCAAAACGTTAGCCATTTACATAAGAGCGAAAGTGGTTTTCCAAGGTCAAAGCGGGTAGCAAAAGAATAAAAATAACCTATCGCATTAAAATAGCACGGTCTTTACAATTTACTGGAGACACTAAGATTTAAACAAGTATAAATTGGAAACACGAGAAACCTTTAAATGAAGACCTCAGAGAGGGAATGGTGGAACAAACGCAATAATTTCTGTAGTAAATATTTTCAGTCATTCCATTACCGATTGCAAATAACACCACTCTTGCGAAAGATAAAAGTTGCTAGTGAATTTTCGATTCCAGAGGAAGGCGCATTCGAATAAATAAGACCGCTTAATATTCATGAGACGCGGGAAAGTGGAAAATCCGGCTCTTCACCTGCGCCGCTTGC